CTGCTAACCTTAAGCACACAAAAATGCATGTTAACCTTACGGTGCTTACTGCACGAAAATGAATTTTGTAACAATGTAAATCCATCGTGAACGCGCAAGGTGGACGCCTTGTTTTCTTGCTAACCTGTAAGACCTTGCTAACCTGCTTTAATATAAGCAAATTTTTCTGCTACAGTTTTTGCACAAAAATTTGCTTACTGGTAAGCAGCTTTATGAAATTTGGCCCAGAAGACAAGAAAGCTATTCCAAATACGACCTAAAACCTGTTCATTACCACAGCTATAGATGTCCACATAAATTTAGCACTGTCCACAACTACTGAATATCCTAATGGTAACGATCAGAATCTAAAAGTCTTCCAGAACATGAGCACAGTGCAGTGCACTTGGGTGCAGCTTTGACACATTTGCAATGTCCAGCGACAGTGGATCAATTCATGGCAAAATTTTGATGCCTCTTGGAGAGTGGCATCTCTGGATCTTTGGCCAATGTCTGGTTCCAACAATTGGCCTGGTAGCAAGTGCGCTTGATGTGCTGCTTGAGTGCTGCCTGGGTTGGAGGAATGTTCTCCAGGTTTCTAGACTTCAGTGCGAAGAGATGTTTCCTAGCATCTTTCACTTCCATGCTCTCACTGGTTCGGTCGTACATCAGCACCACAAATCACTCTAGCAGAAACATTGATTTTTCACTGACCTCCCTTGAAATGCACAGGAGTTCACTGAAGGCATCATTAACCTCTGGGAAAGACTTCCAAGTTTCCCAGGCAGTCTTATTTTCTCTGCCAGTGCATGCAGAAACAGTGTCACACTCGGTAAACGCATGAAAGACTGGGAGAATCATACACTGTGTTGGACTCATGGTGGTATCCATTTCATGAACAGCTATGTACCGAAAGCTTGATCAGACACCAAAAGCGATCACAGCTCATCAGAAGCCGTCTTGCTGAATGAAGCCACGGCCAGTACAACCACATCAGTATCAACGGTACGTATGGTTACATTTTTACAGCATCTTTATCTTTGCATTGCACATATTTCTGCTGAATTTCACACATCAATAGTCATGCATGATATGAACAGCATCCTCTACAGTTCTGACAATGGATGTTTATAGGGCCATCATCCCTGGCTTTATCAGTATCCTTTTATGGATCAAGATATACACTTTTCAGCAACAACAACAACAAAATTCCTCCTACCACTGACCGACTTTGCAAAAAATTGCTCTAAAAAACCATACTTTTTAAGAATAATTCCTTAAAAACTTCAACATATGTATGGGCTCAATTGCGAACTTTATACCTCGGTCTATTAAACTTAGCAGACATGTTTATCATACTACTTGACAACCGACTGCCAACTTTGTTAAAATTTCATGACGTCGATCATCACAATGTTAATTTAAAAATGCGGAATGACCACAATGGAATACCCCTTCAAAGGGTTCCATACACAGTATATGTTCACTCAGTAAATTTTGAGTAAATCGATATTGGAAGCAGGTCACAATTCGGATTACGCAGGTCTTCTGCTGTAACACGTATCGGCTATGACGTCAATTTTCCGACTGATTTTTGCACCTTTTCATTTTTTCTTTATCTTGAAATTGTATTGAAAAGTACATTCTGGGTGGCCAAACTCGGGGCATGTCTCATAGCTGCGTTTGGAAAAAATGTCAAGCGGGACGTTTTAGATGTCAGTTTATATCCTGCATTACAATGTATTGCTCTATATGCGTCATGTATTGGTATGTTAGCATGCAAGGCCATTTACATGTAGGCCAAAGTATAAACCGGGAAAACCTTATGTGCGTAATGACATGTGCCTTGTTGCGTTATTGTTGTGTACATTGCAGATCATCGATCTGATTGCTCAGTTTATTTATCAACTCAAAAAAATAGAAATACAGGCGTCAATACATGCATATCATCACCGATTGCAGTTCTAGATAATTAATGATGCATGTTCCAGTTTTTTTTATAAATAAAGTACTTTGTGCTATGCTAGTATGCTTACTAAATTGCTCGGGTGACTACTTATTTCGACTTCGCATTTTAACCTGGTGACTCTGGGTATTGGTGCTAATGCATTATTTTTAATACAAATTTCTTTATGCCATTGTCTTTTAATTCTCCCCTCTAAATTACGTCTTTCTCTAATGTTACGGTTTCTTCATCTACAATACTTAGTTTTCCAGGAACCTATAATATACAAGCACTGCTTTTTAATAGGTTCCTCACATTCTACTTAAAGGGACTTGGTAACATTGTTCAGATGATAGATAGTGGTGCTAAGGTAGTGACTTCAATGCTAGATGTACAATTAAAGATAATCTGAAAAATTGAGTGAAAACGAACCATTATTCATGGTACAAATTGGGAAAAACTGATGTGATCGATTCCTTAATTCTCCCAACTATATTATTAGGTGGTCTGTTATCAACAGACCACCTATTGATTTCGTCAGAATTTTCTTTATTATTATTATTATTATTATTATTATTTATTTTTATTTCTTCCCGTTTTTTGTGCCCCGGATAACTCAAGTTTGGTTTAGTTAATTTCAATAAATTTCGGCACAATTATAGTTCATTGTCATGAGACATGACATGAACATTTTCAAGGTCATTAGGTTATCGTGACGTCATCCATGCGCCATTTTGTGAAATCACGTTATCCATCATATCTTCATGATGCGTACTCAAAGTTCATTCATATTCATATCACATATACTTCAGGTCAAGGGTCAACAGGTCATGTCATCAAAGGTCACATAAAGGTCATGACGCGCGCGTATGTGCGCGTCAAAATTTAAAATTGCTCAAAATCACTTAACTATTTAACGAGAGTACGAATCAGGTCATTTTAAGCATTTCAACATTTTCCGTCCGTACATGTCCCCGCGCGCGGTGTGCGCGCTCACGGCGCGCGGAAATGGTCAAATTCAAAATGTTTACATGATTTGGATTCCTCTTAACGTAATTGACAATTTACATTAATTTCAGTTACTCTTCATATTTCATTAGGCCGTGAGCGGTCGTCAAAGTTCAAAATCCGCGCGTGCTGCTATGGGCAATATAATGCAAATTTGATCAAAAACATGCCATTTTAAAAATCGAAATAGCTCTTCAGATAGTCCATCGACCCCCGATTTTTATATCATGGTTGGAGAAAGCATGAGTTGGAGATATGATTTCATACCACCCTGACTCGTACAAAGTGAAATAAAGTCATCATATTGGCATCTAAACTCAAACATATGTATTTTGTTGATGACGTCATTTTTGTCTTTGTTTAATTGAGATTATCTCACTTATCTGTGACCGATTTTCTCTCAGATTTTGATATGGTGTAGCTGAGATAATTCTCTATCCGAAATATACCATTTATTTTTCATTTAGATGACGTCATCATAGTTAAATATTCGATTAAATGTGACAATGCATAATTTGTCATATTTGCGTGTTATGTCTATGGGAGGTCACTTTTTTTCAAAACATGAATCTGTATGACAATGTGTTTGTACCAGTATCTCGGTTGTTATTCAATAGTTTTCTCCCAAATTTTAGTATGTTGTAGCTGCGATTATTTGCTATCTAAATTTTTTCCATTTTTTCAATCAGATGTCAGGATCATGCTCATACTCATCATCGTCATCATCATCATCAATATTATCATCATCATCATCATCATTAATGTCACCATCATCACCATCATGGTCTGAAGATGATGATCATCAACATCACCATGATCATGATCATTATCATCATCATCAGTAACATTATCGTTTTTATCATCATATAACATTATCATTATCATCATCACCTTTACTATCATGATCATCATCATGTTCATCATGATCATCATTGTTTACATGTCATATATAATTTCTCCCATTCTCAAATCTATCATGAGACTTAGACAGACCACCTTATTCGTCTTCGTGACGAATTAAATTTCTAGTTACAATTTAATTACAGTTTAGGTAAATGTAAATCGTCACAAAGCAATAAAATGGCTCTACATTCCATTCCAGACATTGAAGTGTTGACAGATTTTTTATAGCCTGTTTTATGTCTTTCTTTCATGGAAAAACGGTTAAATTCAAATTAATCTATTACCGGTATATGAATTCAGAATCATTGAGACGTGCTAATTTATACTACATCTATTGTATAATTTTTTATTTAAAATGTATGTCTATATTTTTTGTAAAATGTGGAACAATAAAAACTTGAACTTAAAAACTTGAACTTGAACAAGTTTAACAATTATTACTGTTTAAACCTCCTTGATGCATCCTTCCATAATTATATTCTTGTACTGTAAGAAAATTGCAAAAAGACGTAATGTAAGAAAATGGATGAACTAATTTTGTTTATCAAACTATGTCAAACTTACCACAGGTGGTCCAACGAATGCATAACCAGCTACAGTGTGTGCTGTCATGTCTGTGTCTATGGTCAGCGCAATCTCCTCTGATGAAACCCTGTCCTTCACCAAGGCTGCTGCATCTGGGTCCTGACTCTCAAAGGCTACATCAACAATGAATGGTAACTCTCTACCTATGGCCAATGGATTCATTGGCCATATTACTCCCTGAAGCATAGACTTCATTACATTGGTTGCAATACTTTTGTTCTGTGACACAGTGAAGTACAGGAGATACCTAAACTCCTCCTTCCTTGGCATCACTACCTCCTCAATCAGCCTGTTGAATTCATTACGATCTGATTCATACAGGGAAGCAAGATGGACTCCAGCCATGTACTCCTGAAACAGTTTGTGAGGGAAGAAGACTGGCAATTGCACATAAGAATTTCCCTTATGTATGTCCATGCTAGTGGTAATTCTGTCCTCCTGAGACAAAATCCCAACCCTACAGGCAGTGTCCTTTGATTCTGGGCATATTTCGAAATCATCTTCACCAAAAACCAAGGTATTTTCTAGCAAACCGTTGAGGGCCCGTTTGGCAATTGGGCCAAGGAGCACATCAATTGTGTTCAAAGAGGCAAGAAGTGAGGGGCTGCCTACTTTCTTCACCTCTTTCTGAGCATAATGTTCTTTTAGAAAGGCAATCATTGTTTTGAATATTTGAGAAAAAGTTTTCAGTGATTTCATTTCCTTTAGTTTTTGCTCACCAAGTTCTTTCCACATAAGACACAACATGGCTACATATATAGGATAGTGGGCCATGTTTTCAGATATGACATCATTCTCATGGGTGAACTGGATAAGCTGGTTTGCTTTATCCTCATTCATTGGAAAATATTTGTGAATGTAAACTGACAAATTCTCTCTGTTGAAACCCTCAACATGAATGAATGTGTAGAGCTTCATTAGATCACCATCTGATCTAATCTCTACTGCCCTCCAAGGGCAAGTGGTAACCAAGACTGGGCAAGAGGCAAGTTGATCTGAACAAAGAATATCTACAAGTCCTATATCACCAGTTTCAGATGAGCTTCCACATGCCTCTGAAGAGTTGACACTTGGCTGTGATGGCTGAAGTTGCAATTGATCAGTAGAATGTGATTTGCAGGATTTGGGCTTCACGATTATGCCCTTGACTTCATCTAGCCCATCGAATGCAATGAATACCTTGTCTGGATTTGACTGGATATACTCAGTAATCTGAGAAACCGTTGCTGGATTGTTTTTGTCAAGATAAGACTTTGCAATTTCGCCAATAGTGTGTTGCTTAAATTCACGTAGAGGAACAATTAAGACCCACACAAAGTGACTGAAATACCTTCCTTCAATCCAGTCCCAGGCAATCTTAGCACAAAATGTAGTTTTTTCCAGCCCCTGCCTCTCCCTGAACCATGATTCGCTTGGGGAACTCTCCATTGACTTTGAGATCAAGAAAATCTTTGTAATCTATAGTATGCTTGCCAGTTCCATCCTCTTCTTCCAATACAAGATTTGCATATAGCTTTTCAAAACCCACAAGAGAAGAAGGCTTGAGAGGATCAGCTCTGATCTTACAGATAGTTGACCTGTACTTGAACTTGAAATCCTTTGCACACCGCTCAACCTGTTCAGGAGAAAGTGGTTTGGTCTGAGATTCAGCTGAAGGAGGTTTGGTCTGTGAATCGAGCAGTCTTGATGGCCCTCCTAAAAATACATAGATAATCCATATTCCCATGTTTACACATAACTATATATTTTGATACATCTGAAGGGATTTTAAAGGCATGAGGCTAATAATGTGACCTACAAATAGGTGCATGCACTCATGCAAAGACACAAAGTCCTACATGTTTTTCTGAAATTGTGTGAAGTCATGAAGTCAATTATGCATCCGTGCATGGGCAGATGCATAATGATAGTTATCATAATGAAATGACGCATAAGGATAATTTTTTGTAGAACATGTACACATAAAAAAAGCTGACAAATATTAAACTCTGCTATCACTCAAAGAACTTGTACTATACTGGACTGGTGTACAGAAAATACCTAGGATTAACGAAATTAAATTAGTAAATTATAAAAACATACATGGGGCCTGATAAAATTTGACACTTCTGTAAATTGTGGCAAATGTACTGTACATGTATAGAACATATGCAGAGCATCACTCACTTTCTCTATGGTAAAAACTGACTTTACTTTTATGCATAGTTTTATATATCTTCTGTTGACATAGCAAGACTGCAATAATTAGTATCTGTTTACCTGTGCTGTTTGGAATTGGAGGTTCATTGAGCAATCTGTCTGACAGGCCACCCAAGTTAATCTCTCGTAGTTTGTCTGCCAAAACCTGTCGTTTGTTCGAGTGTGGTGGTTGCTGCTTGACATTCCATTTCATAAAGACATCCATCAAGGCATCTTTGAAGTTCTTCAAATTCTCAATCAGGATTGCCTTTAGCTGAGCATGGGAGAACCCTAGGGATATCCCTACATTGTAGTAGTTAGATGGATCGATATCCTGGGCCAGCTTCAGGAACTCCATTTCACTGACAGTACTGTAAAATGAATAATAAATCAATTGAGTATGATAGGATATTAGTAAGAGAGCATCCTATTGGCTGAGAAGCTATTATGTGACACTCAACAATTTGTATCAAGTGCTTGAGCGTGCAATAAAACAACATGGGGGATTGCAGAATATATTGCCTGTGATATTAACATTTGAAACATATTGCCCCAAATTGCAGGTGCGGGCAGTATTGTTATGGCAAAGGTAACCATTCCCTCAAAAGTAGAGTTTGGCAGTAAATATGATAATGGTGATGACAGTAATAATAATAACAAGAAAACAAAATTACTAATACTTCTAATGATACTAATGATAACAAAATTTACATCATTATTACTAGAATTGATGAGGTGATGATGATGATGATGATGATGATGATGATTATTATTATTATTGTCATTATTATTATTACTATTATTACTTCTACTAATATACTACTATAACTTCTACTACTACTACTACTACTACTATCATTATCATCATTATTATTATCTGTATCATGCATAGTCTATATATGATATGACAATTAATTTGTTGTGGACCACACTTTCATGCTACGTGTTTGTGTAGTCCTTTAAACACATTTTTTTGTCCAGTACAGTGCATGTGAATTTTAGCAAGACTGGGCAAAATAATAATGTTGACGACTACATGCATTAACCTTTCAAATCACTTCAACAATGTTTCTTTTGGAATGCAAGCGCGTGACCAGAACTAAACTTTATTATTAACCCCTAAAGGTTACTACATACTACTAGTAGGCCTATATATGAGCTTACTTTGAATCATCGGGTCACCATTTCGGGTCAGAGGTTCACGTTACCCTGCATTTCGTGAAAACATGCCCCTTTATTCACGAAATGTCGGAGGTAATGTTGTGAAATAAACCCTCTCATCTACAAATGGTCTGGTCCACTTTGTGAAAACCCTACAGCAAATCTACTAGAGTAAGGATCGCATCCTGAATGTGCATCTTCACATGGTCTTTTGTTTCACGAAAGGTTGTGTAACGCAACCATGCAACCGGACGCGATGACCCGATGATTCGGAGTATATATGCATACCGTACATGTACCTTTCTGCAGCGTTAGGACCTGGATTGGTTTCAACATCACCAGATCTCATCAAGAGGATCAGGAGCAGATAGTGAAGGCAGAATCCATCCATGGTGTAAGCTAGATGTCCTTCTCACTCTACAGAAATTTAGTCCTCTGGAAAATGGTTATATGACACGTCGGGCGACAATATCTGAAAACAATATTAAAAAATATAGATATTACGTCCATAAAACAGATGGAATAACTATCCTTTAGAATTTCAATTCACTACATCTATTTAAAGACCTTGACCGGAGCGTAAACAACCATACATCCACAGACGGCTAATGAAACACAAAATACAAATACAAGAAAGAAAAAATTAAATACCCTTTCATTACTGAGAAAAATGAAAATTACAGTACAACTGCCGCCCCCTCCCAAATTCGCCTCGGTCAAGAGCCCCCGCGCCGCACGGACTTGGGTGACGTCATTTCGTGTAGACTCGAATTGTTTGCTGTAATTCTTCGCCGCGCGATGTTCGAGATCTACATTGATTTTGCGTAGGCTACCGTGAATCCTTTCTGCTTTTTATCGATTGAAGTTTGAGAAGTTTTGAGAAGTCTTTCTAAAGAGAATGGCTACCCCAGTCGTCAGGGCAGATGCACAAGATGATTTAGTTATGGAATTTGAGTGTGAGGAGGATGGCAGTTGCGGGGAAAGCGGTGAAAATGACAGTGTCAGTGGTAGTAGTGACAGTCCGGACAGTACTGGCAGCAGCAGTGATACCGACAGCGATGCAAGTGATGCAGACGCCGGAGAACACGGGCGTATCGTCGAGTGGGAGTGTGAGCCTTTACCTCGTGCGTGGTGAACCTGGGCAAAATGTTGGCGATGCTGGAAGGGCCAACAACGCAAATCGGCTTCATGAAAATGTCGAGGATTGGTAATTAAGACTTATAAGCTTATTGAATTTGTTGTGCATTCTAAATATTTATTCCCCCCCCCCCCCCCCCCCAAATTGAAATCAAATACCGTAGATCTCTAGACTCGGTCATAAATGGCATGTCTAATTCTAAAGTTAACTTGTTAAAATGATTCTCTAGATCTATGTCTGCGCACCTAAAATTCGACCTCGATTTCATTACACAGTAAGATATTATTTTTAGAATCATCATTGTTATTCCGTTCTTCATATTCTAATGATTACTGAAACAAAAAAACTCGACAAATTATTCACAAGAACAATTTTTTTTAACGAATTTCAGACGGGCTCGTCATTTTGTGTAGCAAAACTGAAAAGTGCCCATATCTGCGCACTCACTATTTTGCACGCAATTCAATCAAGCACAGTGAAGTTTCATACCAGGGACAACCCCCTGTTCAGACTTTTCTTTTTTGACAATGATTGAAATTTTCAGGGTGGCAAATGAAACTTGCTAAAACTCATTTTTAATCTTCCCAATTATTTTCACAAATTTTGGTATCTAAATGAATTGTTGAGGTTAAGATTGAAAATTGGTGTCAGTTTGATGTTTTGTTCTATAAATATCGCGCATTTACGTGGGTGCGCAGACATAGGCACTGCCTTGGGCACTCTTACCATACTACGACTAGAGAACGATGTCATTTTTATATTTATCAGGAAGCTGTAATAAAATATTTATAAAATTATAGTAGGTGTATTGATTTTTGTTTGAATCTTTCTGTATTTCAAGGTGTACATGTGGAAGATGTCGTGTGCCTCCATCTTTCAATGAAGGTGATTGTGTCTGTTGTCAGGAAATTGCAGAGGTCAAGGCAGAGGCTGATCGACAGGGTTCAAGTTGTCTGGTGGATTCTGAGGAGTTTGAGCCGGCCATCCTAAATGCGACAACATTGTACATCGGATGGATGGAGTACACAGATAGGTGGCGCCGAGCAGCCAAAGCATTTGGGGACAGGAACAATGAGTAAGTTATGTTTCTCCTTTTCATCATTTTGGCAAGGGCTAAAAAATAAATGGATTGATTTTGAAAGTTTATTGGGTGAAACTTTTCAAAACGAATTGAGTCACCGCAAGATGAATTACTAGTTTTGACCAAAATTCTTGCCTGGTGACCACTGGTGTACTAGCTGCCTTATCTGCAGGTGCTTCGGGGCACTTTTTCAGGAAATGTATACAAATAGGCAAGAATGACCACCGGTTTGTGAGTTTTAGCATGTTACCCCCCCCCCCCCCCAATAATCTGTAGTTATGAAACACAAACTTTATATGCGATTTTGAATGTTGCCCCCCACCGCCCGACAAACAATGACTAACCCTTGGTCATTTTAGTTTTTTTTAATCATTTTTATTTTCCTGAATTAATTAATAAAGAATTAATATTTTGACATCAAATCATCTATCCTAAGAAAAATAATGAAATTTTTTTATTGCTTTTTATTTTACAGAAAATACAGGTATGTGGCCTACAGGAAAGTCGTGAGATGGTGTTGGGGCTGGCTCGGGAAGGACATCAGGGTGCAACTGCCAGCATGTGTCCATGCCTCAATAATGGAAGCGTATCCTGATGGACGTGGTCAGTACAAAGGGACCATCCTGCGTCGGTTGAGATGAGGATGTAACATCAACTATTGTCTTGCGAACTTTGAATGACTGTCATCTTCTATGTGATTGTCAGCCATCTTCTGTACGTTATTTGTGATCATCGGCTTTCATCTTCATATTCATCACAAATACTATTGTTTGAACTTCTCATGATGGTATGGTTGCTATGAACTTTGATCTCGACATTTGATTCTAATTTCCAAGAGCTGATATTCGAACTTTTGCAAAACTGTGATCAAGCAACGATTTCTTATGAGGAAGAATGTTGAAATCTATATAAACAAGCAACAACAACAAAAACAAAAAAAACACAACATGCCTTGTTCCTTCTCTTTTGTTATACACCCTGCAATGTAATTTGTTTTAATAATTTGAGCATTTCATATACAGTCAACCTGCCGAGTCAGAAAAGGGGAGAGAAAGAGAAAATGAAATTGAAAGAGAAAACGAAATTGAGAGAAAGAGAAATAACAGCATGGACACAACAAAGATAGACAGAGGAATAATGAGAGTAAGAGAAGGGAATTGCGGTTGACGAAATTTCAAATGTGTGATAAATGGTAAGCATCGTAATAAATCCAGGAAATCCTTTATTTTGCATCAAATCTATCCTCCCAAAAAGGATAAACCTTAACCCTATCTCCCACTCTGTCCCTCTTCCTCTCTCTTTCTCCTCTTCCACCCTCCACATTCCCATCTCTCTATCCCACTTCCTCTCTCTGTTTCCTCTTCCATATTTCCATCTCTCACTCTGTCCCTCCTCTCTTTCTCCTCCTCCACATTCCCATCTCTCACTCTGTCCCTCCTTCTCCTCTTCCACCCTCCACATTCCTATCTCTCACTCTGTCCCTCCTTCTCCTCTTCCACCCTCCACATTCCCATCTCTCACTCTGTCCCTCCTTCTCCTCTTCCTCCACATTCCCATCTCTCACTCTCTCCCTCTGCCTCTCTTTTCCTCCTCCACCCTCCACATTCCCATCTCTCACTCTTTCACAATCTCTCTTTCTCCTCTTCCATCCATCACATTCCCATCTCTCACTCTTTCACAATCTCTCTTTCTCCTCTTCCATCCATCACATTCACATCTCTCACTCTATCCCTATTGGTATCTATCTTTATCCCTCTTCTTCCTTCACATTCTCTATCTCACTCTCATTTTCACAGCAATTTCCATCTTTAAATTATGAAGCTTCCTACAAGACACCTATAATAGAAATAAACAAACAAGATTTGTGTTCCTTTAGATGAATTTTTGTTTACCTTTGCTCAAAATATTCTCAGAACATCCCATTGACGGTTTTTCCCTCCAATCATTTTCTTCTCTGTTTGTGCAATATATTTCAAAATGATGCACCATTGGAACAAAAACTTTGATGCAACATGTACATTACATTCATCCTTATTTTATGTAAAGTTTACAGGATAGATGACTATTTTTATTATATCTGCAAGGATGATTATTTTTCAATCTTTTATAACCAGGTTTTAGGACAAACAGGAAACCGCTGTTAGGAAAAAAAGTATGGATGCGATGAAGTAATCATCACAATGTTTCCTCTTCTGTGATAATATGGCATGATCTTTAAAACTACTAACTTTGAAAATGAATAACACAATTCACCTCGGCAGAAAAGGGAAAAAATCAAAAACAAAAAATAAAGTCATATCTGGTGCAATACATCAAATGGTTCTTGAATAAGAACAGTTTAGATGGAAAAAAAAATGCATTTTTTAATTTTTTATTTTTTGCAAATAAGAAGCAAAAAGCATTGGCCAAGATGAAGGACTGTGAGAAAAATCAGATTATATTTGGTGCCAAATTCATGATCAACAGTGATTTACTTAGTGTTTATGAAAATCTAGTGCATATGCTTCAGAAATTGTTTTTAATTGAACTAAAAATGTAAGTTTTACAAATTTAATAAGTATTTTACCTATTAAAACCAATGACTATCGATGTGTACCATGGACTTTGGCTTGTGTAAGTATGTACAAGCTTACAGACAAGTTTCTAGTGCTTTACACTCACATAGAATCGGAATCCACTACTCACTTGCATAGAGTACTTCCATGTTACTCTCCATAATTATACTGGCATAAACATAATTTAGGGTCTATGAAAAACATGTCTTGTACTGAAATAAAACAATCAGTGGTTAATGTTCAGGTAGCTGACACATTCATCATAGTTTCTATCACCAAAAGAACTAGTTTCTATCGCCAAAGCGATGATGTTGTTCAAAAGCTTGCACGGCTTCTCCATTGTCGGGGTGATGATGAGAGGCACTCCGTGCTGGTTGAGGCTGTAGCTCCTCCATGTTGTCTCTGAGCTGCTCCCTGTTTTCCACCAGTTCTACGACAACTCTCATCAGGGCTTTCACATAACCTACAAGATAAAATCCAAAACTATACCTTGAAAATTCATCTGTACGGTGTTAAAAAAATACATTTTGATAAGAGGAAAAAAGGAAAAGAGAAAAATAAGAACATAAGAAGAGAAAACTCTTTTTCTCACAAATATTGAATTACCTAATTTTACACACTATTTGT